GCAGCTGTCTGTGATTTTTTAGGGCACAAAGAACTGTTGGAAGTGTCAGCCAATCCACTAGTAACTTTCATGTCAGTTTGCAATATATCTAAGTCATCTTGTTGTTTCCTCTCAGTTTCAGAGCACTTCTTTTCATTATGCAGATCAACTGCACTTCTATGATCTTGACTTTCGACTTTAAGTGATTGTGTTTGGCTTTGATGCCCAGAATTTTGCTCACTAATAATGATGGTAGAGTCACCAGCCTCGTCTTCAGTCTTTGTATTCACCATTTCACCAACTGTTGGATTCAGTATCCCCTCTACTCTTGAAGCTCTCTCAATAGGGATTCTGTTGGTGTCAGATTTGTCCACTCTATCGAGATCTATTTTAGTATCTACATCTACTTCATCGTTGTTAGCATGAGAGGACTCTTGATCTAACCCTTTTCTCCCTACAGTTGCAGTATTTTTTAAGATTTCTTTCTCTCCTCGGGGATCCCGAAGGCCATTCACTTGGGTGGAGTTAGTTTCCTGGCTACCTGCCATTTCAGCACTGAAAGAATTGGCTACTGTACTAGCAGAGACAGTATGTGCTTTCACCCCAGTAAGACCAGTCCCTCTGGAAGCCAAATCTGCAGAACTTTTTCTATACACAATATCTACTTTCTCTTTCACTGGACTGTTTTTTGTTCTTGCAGTGCTTTCTCGTACAACCAGTCCATCATCCTCTGTCTTTAACAAACTGGTTGAGAGGAAGTTTTTTAAAATGATATCACCATTGGAAGTTGCAGAGTTTGGACAAGATACTGAAGATGCATGTCTATTCTTATGTTTGCCTGCTTCGGAATCGGAACCCTTTACATCCACAGATTCTCTGCGAATTGAGAGTGATGTGGCAAGACCACCACGACTCGGAACTAACTCCGTAGAACTTGACCGAGCAGGATCACGATTTATCTTTGATCTGTTTCTACGAGCATATGGGCGAAAAATGGCAGAATCTTCTGTTTCCTTAGTATTCTGGAAATTGTTCGCTTTGACAGACCGTTCCGATTCTGAAGTTCTACTTCTCTTATTAGGATATTTTGAATCTCTTTCTCCTTCAAGTGACTTAGTTTCAGCATCAAACAGTAAAAGATTATCAGCTGTATTGGGTTCAGAAACTATTGAAACTCCAGGCCTACCACTACTCTCCACAGAATCCCCATGTTGTGAGGCAGTCCGGGGAAAACTATCCTTGACTTCACTGTGGTGAGAACGGGAAAGAATCATAAGTTGATCTATGATATCTAGAAAATTCTAACAGGAAAAATTACGGCAAACAAGAAAAATACCTCTTTACAAATTGATCTGCTTGCTTATCTGTGAGTGACGTAGATTGAACGCTATGTGAAGCTGCATTACCAAACTTGAAATCCAAAGGATTCCCACCCTAAAGTAGAGAGAATAGTAAGGACTTGTTATATAATAAGTCTCTAAAAGGAAACAGAAAATGGAAAATAAATTTTCATACTTTCTCCAGAAACTCCAATTCTCTCCTCCTTTCCTCACGGACATCATACTCCTGCCTATAAAAACAAGTGATTTTCGTTACTCAACAGAAACGATTAGCAGCTGAAGAAAACATGTGGCAATCCCCGCAATATACCTTAGTTCCGCTTGAGCCTTCTCAATGGCTACTCGACGCGGAGATGATTTGACACCAATCCCACCTCCACTATCAATAACTCCTCCCATGGAATCAAACTAGGCATTTACTAAAAAGATATCCTGAAACACTTCCATGCATCACCACTTTCACTGTCCCATTATATTCAAACTCTTAACTATAAACAGAAATCATCACAAAGCCAAGAAAGTGTTTCATTATCTCCCACAAAAAGTCATAGCAACACCATATAAGTAGAGATTATAAAGTTACATTAACACAACAAGAGCTAGATATAGAAACAGCATTAAATTTGAAGCCAGAAGCTCACTAGTAAACAGAAATAGGAACCAAAACTTGAAATTTAATCAGCTGAGATATCAAAAGAGCACATTTTTAACGAATTTGCGAGAGTTAAGAGAAGAACCCAAAGTAGAACCCCAAAGACTCAAGCTTAAGAAAACCCAAATTGAAAGGAGCTAAAACGTTAGGGTTTTGGATGAAGGAATGAGCAAAAGGGTACCTGAATTTTGTTTGGATGTACGAAAACGCAAACGCAGGAATTAGGGCACAAAAAAAAAAAAAAAACTTTGGGCAATCACAAATCAAAATTAGGGCTTCTTCTTCCACAACAAATTCGTCGAATCGAAGAAGAGAAGCGAGAAATTTCTTCGAGAAAGCTCTTCGTGAATTGGAATTTTGTAAATTTCAATCTCGAAAAAATTGCAATTTCCTTTTAATTTTTGTTTCCCTCTCAGAGGAAATTTTTGTTTGTTGTCGTGTTCGTTTTTTTTTTTTTTCGCTTCCTTTGATGCAACTATGCGACTCTCGCTCGCTCACTTGCTTCTGAGTATTGGGCCTGGGCCTTAGTCATTGTTCTCTTTTGGGCCCTTTGTACGAGTCTCCCGAGGCCAGAGACAAAAAAAAACATATTTAAGTGGATATTTTTGTCACTTAACATATTTAAGTAAGTTAGCTATTTTCTTTTGAGTAATTCTTATTTCAAAAGGCATGGAATACTATTAAAACAATGAGTCTCATATGTGTGGTGGAGCTTGGATTGTTAGGAACCACCAAGTAAATGCAGTTTTCCATGCGCAAGAAATGTTTCTACCCGCTTCAAATCGTATCTCTGCGGAATTAAGAGGGATCCTTTGGGTTCTACATAGTCTTTCTGACTTGCATTTGGATAATATTGAGATATGGTCTTATTGTAATGCTGCAATTGATGCCATTATTGATCCCTCAAATTGGCCAAGGTATCACTCCTTCCTTGACAAGATACATCGGCTAATATCAAGTTTTGGTAAAATAGTGTTTAAGGTGTCTTCTACAAAAGCTAATGCGATCGCAAGAGCTATTGCTGCGAGTGTCACAAGTGATGGACGGGTCAATCTTATTTAGCTAGTGGCGGTCCGGCTTGGCTATTTTCACGTATTGAAGAGGAAAGGAGAAGATGACATAGTTTGGAAGTCTTTCATAATCATTTATGCTCTGTTTTGTGGAGCTCTGTTTCTTATGTTGGCATGTTTTGTTTCTTGACTTTTATACGTTTACTTATTCTTAATAAAATACATTAGACGGCAAAAAAAAAAAATACTATTAAAACAGATTTGACTGATTGGTCAACTCGTTTTTACAACATGAGGTTTTGAAAACGATTAAATACGATAATTATATGTCTAATTCCAAAAACGGAGCAGCAACGTACACAGATTATAGAATTGAGATCCATCAATCTATGCAATGTTGGGTATAAAATTATTTTTAAATATCTTTGTCAATGACTTAAAACGGTTCTACCGTCTCTTATTTCAGAAACATAGTGTGCTTTTGTTGAAGGTAGACTAATTTCGGATAATATACTTATAGCGCAAGAGGTGTTTCATGGTTTACGTACAAATTCAACTTGTAAAGGAAAATTCATGACGATAAAAACAGATATGAGTAAAGCTTACGATCGGGTCGAATGAGATTTTATCAGACTTTTACTAAAGAAATTGGGATTATGTGAGAAATTGATCTCTTGGATGATGTGGTGCATAACTTCACTGCAATGAAAGGTGCTTATAAATGGACAACCTAAAGGTCTAATAATATCAAAAAGAGATTTACGAGTGGGTGATCCACTTTTTCCATATTTATTTATTCTTTGCACGAAAGTGATAATTACAAACATCAGAAAAACGGAACAGGATAAGTTGATTATTGGCATAAAAGTGACAAAAGCAAGTCATGTGGTATCCCATTTGTTATTTGTGGATGATAGTTTATTTTTCTGTAAAGCAAACAAGGAACAATGCGGAGTTATTTTAGGTCTCTTAAAGCAATATGAAGACATTTCAGGGCAACAAATAAATTTTTCTAAACCATCGGTTCAATTTGGACATAAAGTTGACGAATCTATAAAGGTAGAGCTTAAGGCGACATTGGGTATAACAAATAATGGCGGCATGGGGTCTTACCTAGGCTTACCAAAAAGCTTAGGGGGATCCAAAACGGAAAAAAAAAAATTTCGTAAGGGACAAATTACAAAATAGGATTAACGGCTGATTAGCAAAAAATTTATCAAGAGGCAGTAAAGAGGTGTTGATTAAATCGATGGCTGTTGCAATTACCAACTTAATGTATGTCATGCTTTCGACTGCCAAAAACAATCACATCTAAACTTACAAGTGCGGTGGCTAAATTTTGGTGGAGCTCCAATGGCCAATCAAGAGGTTTGCATTGGATGACCTGTCATCTATTAAACAAACAAGTAGGACCTCTTGATGGTTTAATAACAAAAAAGGGTTTTGTTGTTCTTTGTGAAGACTCATGCTTGGGGAATAAGTAGTTTCTTAGTAATTAGGTGAAAAAATTTGCATAGAAACTTGCTTTCTTAATGAATATGTTGCAAATATATATTGGTATGGTGTCTTGCTTCTTCTTCTCTTTATCTTATTATGTGATGTTCTCCTTATCTTATTATGTGATGATATGTTATCTTTTTACTATATGGTTTATAAAATTATATTAAACAAACAAAAAATTTTTTTAATAGGGATATCTACACTAATTTCTTTAACAAAGAAAATGTCTTTACCGACTTGTCGAAAAAACCTTCAAAGTTATGTAACAGTATACTAATTTTTATTTTAGAAATTTATATAGACTTTAACATATTTTTACAATATTTTTGATGAACTTGATTTGAAATATTTTACTTTAAACATAATTTGGGAGGTTTTTTCAAGTTTTCCAATAAGATTTGTTTAAAATTAGATCGGTCACTACACTATTATTTATTTTTCCAAGTTTTATTAAAACCAAGGTATTTACTAAAATTTTCAGTCAATACTAAATATTTGTTTTGAAAAACTTGTTACATTTAGGAAATAAATCTTCTGAAAACCCTAAGATTAAAAACTATTGCTCCTCTTATATAAATATACACCTCTCCCAATTCTAAAACATAACCTTAATTAAATCATTTGCTCCGCCTCCGATTTCTCTTTTGCCCTTGCAGCAACCAAAGGACATGACGACGGCGTTCGAGAAAGGTCCCCACTAATCTCGAGACGAGGTATTTCGTGTTTTACTCGGAAAAAGGTAATACTCTCATATCATCAAACTCTTTCAATTTTCAAGATGTTTGTTTTTTGTTTATTGGATTGTGGATAGATATGAGCATAGATTAGTTTATTTGAAATTTTGGGATACCCAGATTTAATATCGACGGATCTGTGAAACAACTATCCAGATCCAGATCGACCCAATATTTGCGATTATCTAGATCCACAAATAAATAGATCAAAAAAATAATGATAACAATTATCATTCATATTAAATATCTAAATATCCGAATTGGATCCGCAAACTCTAGAAACCTATTTTTGGAATCGGATCGGATCTTGGATCCATGATATTTTGCATGTCCCTTATTGTGGAATGTTGATGATCTTGCAAAGCTCATTATTTTTGTCAATTTTATTTCATCGTTGGTTTGAAGCAAAAAAAAAATCGATTTTGCTTGATTTATGATGTCCTTGATTTATAGTTTTTTTAAAAAAAAAGAAAATTGTGTATAAATATTTTCGTCGAGCAATATATCTGACATTAAAAAAATTGTATATGATATCTACTATTTTATTTTATACATGAAATAGCTAAACTTTTCGCATTAACATAAGAAAATTAAATATATAGGAACCAAGCTATATTTTTACCGAAAGAGTTTCACTAATTTTTAAATTTGTTCTTTGCAAGTGGGTGAGCTTTGTCTTATTTATTCCGTCAATGTCGTTCCCGGAGAAGAAGAGGAAGACGGCCACAAAGAAGCCGTTACTTAAGCCCTCGCTCACGTTGCAATCAACCCCAAATCCTCCACTTCCCCTTCCCGATGATTTGCTATTGAGCTGCTTCGCCCGCGTCTCAAGATTGTACTACCCAACTCTCTCCCTCGTCTCTAAAAGCTTACGATCTCTCATTACTTCACCAGAACTTTACAAGACTCGATCAGTCCTTAACCGTACTGAGAGTTGTCTCTATGTCTGCTTAAAGCTCCCATCTGATGATAACCCTCGCTGGTTCACTCTCTGTCGGAAGCCAAATCAGTCAAGAAAGAAAAAGAAGAAGACAAGTGGTAATATTTTGGTTCCAGTCCTATTTCCCCAATCTTCTCCTCCTACGCACGCGGCGAGTTTCGTCGCTGTTGGTTCTGATATCTACGAAATTGGTGGTCTCATCAACGACGTACCTTCCTCTAACGTCTCGGTCTTGGATTGTCATTCTCTTTCAAGAAACCAAGCTCCAAACATGTCGATGGCCATGGAAAATCCCGCAGCCTATGCTATTGATGGAAAGTTATGTGTTGTGGAAGGCTCCAACTATAAAGATTTTTTCGATCCGGAAACCCAAACTTGGAAGCCTGAGAACCGACCTCCTTTTTCTTTAGCCCCGCCAGAGGAATATTTACGTGAATATCGAGGACGAAATCTATGGATTCGTCGGCATGGGACATCGTTTTGTGGTTGCATGATAGATAACGTGTATTGGTGTTATAAAGACGGACAGTTCGAATGGTATGACGCTTTTAAAAGTGAATGTAGAATCTTGAAGGGTATGGAAGGACAACTGCCTAAGTTGACTAGATCTTGTGATGTTCAATTGGCGGATTATGGTGGAAAGATGGCGGTTTTATGGCACAAGCATGATCGTTCTAGCAATGATAAGGGAAGGGTTATATGGTGTGCAGAGATTGCGCTTGAAAGGCGTAGTAGTGAAGAAATTTGGGGGAAGGTCGAGTGGTTTGATCATGTGCTTAAAGTCCCCAAGTTGTTTAGGTTCGTGTGTGTTCTTGATCCTACTCTTTGATGAATGGCAACTGAAACATGTGTTGGAATCAATCACTCATCGGTAAAGTATCATTATGTTTTCAATGTGATGTATGAATTGTCTCGTGTTTAGCTTGGTTTTATATTTGTAAACTTGTAGTCGCATTTTGAACTTTATTGACATTTTTAATGCTTAGCTTTATGTTGTGACAAGCTTTATGTTGTGTCAAGTGACTACTAAGCTTATGCACTTATACATATTTGAAGAGTTCATGAATATTGTTTCGTCATCTATTAAACAAACAAGTAAGACCTCTTGATGATTTAATAACAAAAAGGGGGTTTTGTTGTTCTCTGTGAAGACTTGGGGAATAAGTAGTTTCTTAGTGATTAGGTGAAAAAAGTTGCATAGAAACTTGCTTTCTTAATGAATATGTTGCAAAATATATTGGTATGGTGTCTTGCTTCTTCTCTTTATCTTATTATGTCATGATATGTTACCTTTTTATTATATGGTTTATAAAATTATATAAAACAAGCAAAATGTTTTTTTTTTCTTTTAATAGGGATATCTACACTAAGTTCTTTAACCAAGAAAATGTCTTTACCAACTTGTCGAAAAAACCTTCAAAATTATTAATCGTATATTCATATATTTTTATTGTAGAAATTTATATAGACTTTAACAGATTTTTACAATATTTTTGATGAACTTTATTTGGAATATTTTACTTTAAACATCATTTGGGCGATTTTTTCAAGTTTTTCTATAAGATTTGTTTAAAATTATATCGGTTACTACACTATTATTTATTTTTCCAAGTTTTAATAAACCATATTCTTTACTAAACTTTAAGTCAATGCTAAATATTTGTTTTGAAATTTTTTTACATTTAGGAAATAAATCTTCTGAAAACCCTAGAGATTAAAAGCTATTGCTCATCTTATCTCTCCCAATTTTAAAACATAACCTTAGTTAAATCTATCTGCTCCGCCTCCGATTCTTTTTTTGCCCTTGCAACAACCAAAGGACATGACGATGACGTTCGAGAAAGGTCGTCACTAATCTCGAGACGAGGTATTCCGTGCTTTACTCGAAAAAGGTAATAATCTCATATCATCAAACTCTTTCAATTTCTCAAGATGTTTGTTATTGTTTATTGGATTGTGGATAGAGATGTGCATGGATTAGTTTCCTTGAAATTTTGGGATACCTAGATCTAAAATCGCCGGATCCTTGAAACAACTATCCAGATCTGGATCCACCAATATTTGTGATTATCTAGATCCACAAGTAACTAGATAAAAAAAAAATTACAACTATCATTCGTATTAAATATCTAAATATCTGAATTGGATCCGTAAACTCCACAAACCTATTTTTGGAATCGGATCGGATTTTGGATCCATGATATTTTGTGTATCCCTTATTGTGGAATGTGGATGATCTTGCAAGCTCTTTTTTTTGTCAATTTTATTTCATCGTTGTTTTGAAGCAAAAAAAATCGATTTTGCTTGATTTATGATGTCCTTCATTTATAGTTTTTTTTTAAAAGAAAATTGTGTATAAATTTTTTCATCCAGCAATATATTTGACATTAAAAAAAATTGTATATGATATCCACTATTTTATTTTATACATGAAATAGCTAAAAATTTTGCCTAAAAGAGTTTCACTAATTTTTAAATTTGTTCTTTGCAAGTGTGTGAGCTTTGTCTTGTTTATTCCATCAATGTCGTTCCCGGAGAAGAAGAGGAAGACGGCCACAAAGAAGTCGTTACTTAAGCCCTCGCTGACGTTGCAATCAACCCCAAATCCTTCACTTCCCCTTCCCGATGATTTGCTATTGAGTTGCTTTGCACGCGTCTCTAGGTTGTATTACCCGACTCAGGGCCGGCCCTACGAGTTATGGGGCCACAAACAATTACGGTTTGGGGGTCTCATAATCTATATATAATTTTTTTTTACTGTTTGGGGGCCCCAAAATCTATACATATTACTCGTTAAAAATTTGGGGGCCCAACACGAATGTTTCACCCGGCTGTGCTCAGTTACGGCCCTGACCCGACTCTATCCCTTGTCTCTAAAAGCTTACATTCTCTCATTACTTCACCAGAACTTTACAAGACTCGATCACTCCTTAACCGTACTAAGAGTTGTCTCTATGTCTGCTTAAAGCTCCCATCTGACAGTAACCCTCGATGGTTCACTCTTTCTCGGAAGCCTAATCACCCCAGAAAGACAAAGAATAAGACAAGTGGTAATGTTTTGGTTCCAGTCCCATTTCCCCAATCTTCTCATCCTACGCACGCGGCAAGTTTTGTAGCTGTTGGTTCTGATATCTACGAAATTGGTGGACTCATCAACGGCAGACCTTCCCCTAACGTCTCGGTCTTGGATTGTCGTTATCTTTCACGAAACCAAGCTCCAAACATGTTGAAAGCTAGGAAAAATCCAACAGTCTATGCTATTGATGGAAAGTTATGTGTTGATGGAGACTCCATCGACTCCGTATCGTCAAACTATATAGAGGTTTTTGATCCAAAAACCCAAACTTGGAAGCTTGAGGACCGAACTCCTTTTGCTATAGATATAAAAGAATGTCGCCTCGGGACGTCGTTTTCTGGTTGCTGGATTGATAACGTGTATATGTGGTACGAATCCGGATACAGACAGTTCGAATGGTATGACGCTAATGAATTAAAATGGAAAATCTTGAAAGGTATGGAAGGACAACTGCCTAAGTTTACTAAATATTGTGATGTTCAATTGGGGAATTATGGTGGAAAGATGGCGGTTTTATGGGATAAGCATGATCGTTCTAGCAATGATAAGGGAAGGGTTATTTGGTGTGCGGAGATTGCGCTTGAAATATGTAATGAAGAGATTTCGGGGAAGGTTGAGTGGTTCGGTCATCTGCTTAAAGTCCCCAAGTTGTTTAGGTTCATGTGTGTTCTTGATCCTACTCTTTGATGAGTGGCAACTGAAACATGTGTTTGAATCAATCACTCATCGGTAAAGTATCATTATGTTTTCAATCTGATGTATGACTTGTCTTGTTTTTCATATTTGTAACTCCAATTTCGAACTTTGTTGAAATTGGTAATGCTTAGCTTATGTATGTTGTCTTGCTTCTTCTCTCTACCTTATTATGAAATAATTTTTTTTTTTTTGTCAATATTATTATTATGAAATGATATTTAGCTTCTTTTCTTTATTTTGGCCGGGTTAGTAATTTTAACAATGAAAGTACACTTGTTTTCCAATCAAAGGAAAGTTATCACTTAATAGTATATGAACCAGAGAGTGTCTAGCCAATTTAGAGGAGTCCAACAAAATCCTTCATTTATTTATAAATTTCTTCATACTCCCTCTTTTTTTTTTTTTGTCATCTGATTATATATTAATATTGAAGGTTACAAATCTTGCCTAAAGCACATACTATAGTAGTTAGAAGTTAGTGATTTACATTCTACACTAACTATTCCAAAAATGATAATGACATCAGTCTGAACTTAAGCTGAAACATCACAACAACTTAAAACGAGGATATAACTTTCTCAGAGTCGAATAACTCAAACTCATGCAACCAAGAGGGATGGCTAACCGCAACAGAAGAATGAGACAATGATTCCATTGAAAAAAGCTCCTCTATTAGAAGCTGGATGTTTTAACATAATACACACAATTTAGTAAACAATTTTTTTGTAAGATTAGTATTTTATATAAGATGAAAAATATATATTTTTTTTTTCATCAAAATAACTTATATTAATTTGAAATATCGTCATACAAAATGTTCACGATCCATGGAGGCGGATCTGAATTTGCAGAGTAAAAACAAGATTGGGTGCTACCAAATTTGGCAAGACAATGAGCTACTTGATTACAAGAACGATTCACATAAAGAAAACAAAGATCCTTAAACTTAGGCATCCAGAACTTGATGTCTTCACATAATCCTCTAATTGACGCATCCAATGAACGATTATTGATGCTGTCGATCAATACTTTGCAATCTCCTTCAAAAAATACTTTGGTAAAGCCACGTATCCATGTTTGTTGCATCGAGGAGAGTAAAGCTTGTGCTTCTGCTTCCAACGGTGATCCTGTGACATTCAAACGTGATAAGCCCCATGCTTTAGGTTCGCCGTTATGGTCTCGAATTATCCATCCTCCATTTGTGTGATTAGTGTTAGCATCAAATGTAGCATCAAAATTGCATTTAACATAATCAGAAGAAAAATATTATTTAAAATTTGACTAAAACATCATATTAAAACATATACGGAAAAATATTTTTCTTCAACAATTACTTCCCTTATTAAAAGTTATAATTTAGCAAATGAGCTCTTAAAAATTTATAATCAGCTACAAAAAAAAAAAATTTAATTAGTTTTTTTCAATGCAGAAAGACGGGGCATTTTGCAAAAGACTGTCCAAACAAGTCTAAAAAGAAGAAGCAGTATCTCATTCATTCGATATCCAAGATAGCTCCAGATCTTGATATTGATAACCACGATCTCGAGTCAATACTATCTTATGATAGTGACGAGAATGATGCTATATGCAGTTATTCGGATTATGACGAATCTTCCGAATCCTCATCCGAAGATGACAGAGACGATGATTGTTGTTTCAAGATTACCCAGATGCCTCAAGAAGACGAACTGCAGACACCACATCTACCAGTAACCATCTTCGATCCTTCCAAAAGAGAAAAGCCAGTGCACGCAATCGCATTCTTCGACACAGGAGCTCATACAACAATCATAAATCCAAAGATACTCTCACGAGCCATGTGGATGCCTCATCAACAAGATTTCAGAGTAGCAAACGCTGGATCCCTGACGGTTAGGCTAAAATCAAAACCAATAACGATCGAGCTTTTCCCAGGATGTCAAGTTACTAAGGAAGTACTAGGTTCATCTGCACCTGGTAAAGACTTAATTCTTGGGTGGGATACTTATTCGGTACTGAAGAAGAAGTTCGGTATTTCTCTTGAACCAAGAGGTGTGAGATGGAAAAATCTCTACAAGGCCTTTACCACGATGCATCGCCTATTCTCAATCGAAGACTCAGTATCTGCAAAATTCAACAAAATTGAAGAAGAACTAAAGATGGCATCATGTGCAGATTCACACACAGAGTTCCTTCAAAAGTGCGACCATCCGTTATGGTTAAACTCAAGCTTCTTCGTATCCCTACCATTCAAAGAAGATGTTCACACAACACCAACAAAAGCAAGCCATGCAGGAATGCCTCCAACACTGTTGCAGAAGGCAAATGAGGAATGCAATCAATTGATGGATCAAGGTATCATCTCAAGAACAAACTCTCCATGGGCATGCAAAGCATTCTACGTTAATAATCGTGCAGAACAAGCAAGAGGAAAACTCAGATTAGTTATCGATTACAAACCGTTGAACCAGTATCTGCAAGACGTCAAGTTTCCACTGCCAAATAAAAGAGCGCTTCTTCAACATCTCCAAGGTGCAAAAATATTTTCGAAGTTTGATCTGAAGTCAGGATTTTGGCAACTCGGTGTTCATCCTGAAGAAAGATACAAGACTGCGTTTTGCCTTCCAAATAGACACCTTCAATGGAATGTCTTACCCTTTGGTCTCAAGACGGCGCCATCGCTATTTCAACAAGCAATGTTGCGTATATTCGAGCCGTTGTTACACACAGCCCTTATATACATTGATGACATACTCATCTTCTCGAAGAATGAAGAAGAACATATTCAGGCGCTACAACAGTTTCAAGATATCGTCAAGAAAAGTGGAATCATGCTATCAGCCAGAAAAATGATAATAGCCCAGCCCAACATTGATTTTCTTGGCATGCATATCAAAGAAGGAAGTTTCACACCACAGGCCCATTTAGCTACAGAACTTCTAGATTTTCCTGATGAAAATCTCACAAGGCGACAAATTCAACAATTTCTTGGAGTAATCAATTATGTGGGAGACTTTATTCCACACCTTTCCAGAATGACAAGACCTCTACAGAAGATGTTGTCGAAAAATCCTCCTTTGTGGGCATCACGACAAACTGAAGCTATCAAAAGACTAAAAGCAGAAGTGCAAAAGCTACCTCCTTTAAAGATTCCCTCCTCAGGCATGCGTATTCTACAGACAGACGCTAGCGATAAGTATTGGGGAGCAATACTGTTTGAAGAGATGGATGGGAAAAGACAAATCTGTGGATACAAGAGTGGTCGTTTCAAAGATTCAGAACAGCATTATCACTCAACGTTCAAGGAGATTTTAGCAGTCAAAAAGGCTATCGAAAGGATCGAAAATTCAAACATGCCAGAAGAAGTTCTCTGTTTCCTCTGGTATCTCTGTGCCGTATACACGGTAGGAATTGCTTTCGACATCCAATGGCTGTACCACTACGTCAACACTGTTCAAGACAAAAGAGACAGCTTCTCAACGTTCCTAAGGTGGTTTTCACCATTGACTGTCTGGAGTGGAAAACTACGAAGATCAGCGAATGCGACAAATCTAACATTCAAGAAGTTGAAGAAAGGTGGACTCAACCCATTCTTCAATCCACATTCAATCTACTTCTTTCATCGTCCCGTTAAGGTCAACCGCAAAACAAGCAAAATCCTCGCTCTTCCAACTCTCATTCATCACGGTGATTTTTCAAGAGGAGTTCGTCCAGATTTCAACCTTCAGGATAACGAAGCATACGAAAACTTTCAAACTCATGCGTTTCACCTCAACAATGCAAGACAAACGTTCCCCATTCCGTTCATACCCAACTGGGTTTATTATCCGGTCGACTATCAGATGCAACTTGATGAAGATTTACAGTATCACATGATGAAGTTCAACAAAGAAAGACCAAGCAGTCCAAAAGAAGATAAACAAGAAGAGACAACTCCCCAGGCGACTTCTCAAGACTACTGTGCCGACTACTTCAAAGACGCTCAATCCCCAGATGATGAAGTAAATGTTGAAGAAATCGAAAAGAAGTTCCAATTCTACATAAATGTTCAACCAGGAGAAGATGCACAAATGATCGAAAACTCGTATGAATGTCCAGGTGATCATTATGGATGCTGCGAAGAACATATGCTGGAGTTCGAAATGGATCATTAAGCGGTATGTTACATATAAAATATAATATGTTTAAAATCATGTAAAATAAATAATGATGTAAGCGATGATGTAATCGCTGATGTAATGATTATGTAAGCAATGATGTAAGCGATGATGTAATCGCTGAGGTAAGCGCTTATGTCAGCGCCTTAAAACCTCCTATAAATAAGTGTGTACCCCTTGTAAGAAATCATAACTTGAAATATCATAAAATTTCATAATAGCTTTCTCTCTCTAAAATGTTTCTCTAACTTCTCTCTAAGTTTTCCAGACTTCCGACTTTCTTCATAAACCTTGTTTCTTTCTATTCTAAACACAGTCGCGATTCTGTATTGTTCTCTTAAGGTTAGCATAAGTGGTCCGTCAATACGACGGTCGAACACGGCAGTCAATAGTACTCGCCGGGGTTTCACAGTTCCTAATAGTGGGTTGAGCAACACAGAGGCAAAGAGGCCCGAATCGCTCCCTTTACCTGGAAAGTGAACCCTTGCTTGTAAACACGACTGTCGTCTAGACTTAGTCAACACGACCCTCCGCTCGTGCTAGCTTTAAGATTATGGTATCAGAGCGATGTTTTTATTATTTATTTTTTTATTATTTATGGTTGACCAAATGAGAACGATTTAAGAAAATAAAATAAAAAAACACAAGTGGAAAAGTTTTTATTATTTATTTTTTTAAAAAGGAAATGGAATCTATGCAGCTTCTCGACTCTTCCAAAATTCATTCCAATAACCTTTGCTTCAGAAATTGCCATTGTCTCTATCTATAAATCAAATCACATCCTCTTCCATTTTCCTTCGTATCATCTCCTCACAATCTCACCAATTCCAAATCCTAAACCTTTGTCTACTCTCTTCTTTTCTGCAGGTAAAAAAATTCTTCTTTAATCTCTAATTTTTATTTCAGTTTATAGAATTACTAATCGTTATTAATGATTATTGATCTATACTTTGCATGTTTCAATTGATTGTTTCCTTGTTCAATTTGGTGGATTATGTTTCCAGGGATCTTTGTTCTTGTCTGATCTGTATCTGTGTCTGTTTATCGACAATGGCACGTATCCTTTTCTTGATCTGATCATTTATTAGATACGTTACTTTTTTTTTTTTAGTATATAGTTTTATTACATAGGAGAAATTTTAGGTTTTTATTTTCTGTGATACTTGTTTGGCTTTAATTGAAGCAAACGTGGAAACCAGAGAGAACGTGATCGTGAAAGAGCTCAAGCAAGAGGTAATCATAAGCCTAAGCAACTTAAGAACGATGGATTAACACCTGAACAACGTCGCGAAAGGTAATTACTATAATCTCTGGTTTTGTCAATTTGGATAAGCTTAGAAGGAGAACACATGGAATAGGTTGTGGAATTGAATGTAATAAGCTTTTGACAAACAAAACTTATGATCATGAGCTAAACCGGTATTGGTTTAAGCTCATTTGTGAAGTTGAATCAAGTTTAAGATATGTTGTTTTCGTTTAAAGTTGGTTTAATGTTGTATCTAAGAGAAGTTAATTATTAGAGTTTGTTACTGCAATTAGATCTAGTGGATTGCTAATTTGCTACCATTGTTTAGTCGAGATGTTTAAGTTCGATTCGTGAGAGTGAGTGTTAGAGGTGAGTTTAGATTCATTTTCGATGTTTGTGTTGGTAAAGTGAATGCATAAACCATAACTTAAGCCTTGTGAGTTGTGACATAAAATCCATGGAATCTCTTTAAAGTTGTTGATAATTTAGGTTTACTTCTAATACTTTGAGATGAGCTAATTAGATTTTCTTTTGTATTGTTGATTTAGGATGTGAAATTGGTAATGTTGATACATAGATTGGATTATTGTTTTTCGTGGTGTAGAGACACGAGAGCATTGCAGGAGAAGGCGGCTAATTAGATTTTGTTTCTTTTTATTGATTAAGGATGTGGAATTTGTAATTTTGATAGATAGATAGATTGGATGATTGTTGGTCTTTCTTATGTTCGTGGTGTAGAGACGCGAGAGCATTGCAAGAAAAGGCAGCTAGAAAGGCTGGACAATCAATGGGAGGAGGGAACCATGACCATGCCCTTCGCGTTGGAGGTAAAATCAAGAAATAAGACGATCACGTAGTAAGGCTTTTTGGGATATTGTTGGTATATGTTATTAATTGGTTGATCATCCGAGAGTCGATTCTATATCGTGGTGAGAGGGTTTCAAGAGTTGTGTTAAGTCTACGAGTGTGATTCTTATCTTTGCATATGATGTTGGCTTATGAACTTTTTGTTATTCGTCTTATTTCCAATGGAATGTGTTTATTGATCTTTCGTTCTTTTGTTTCCGAGTTCTCTCGGCTCTAAAATGCTTTGGATCGGCCTCGATATTGATTTTGGTTTTCTATGGTGCTGGTTAAGTGATGTGTTGTTGTTCCAAATTTAGTGTAATCTGAAGATGTAGCTGCAGTCTGATGAAGTTGTTGAATGAGTTAAGAAGTAATACAAGTTTTTGTTTGATAGAGTTCTTGAATGATTCAAGAAGTAAGTCAAGATGCGACTGTTTTTGTGTGTGTGTCGGTTTCTAGAAGGTTTGAGAAGATATGGTTGGAGCGTGTTTAGAGGATGAATCACAAAGGAAAAAGGACTTAAAGAGATTTGGAAGACTTGATGAAAGTGGAGTTTAATGAAGAAAAGGAAAAGTGTAAAAGGAAATTTACTTTTTCTTATGGAAATTGGAAATCTTCTCCTATGGTGATTAGGAAATCGTTTTGGCTATATATGGAGGAGCTGAGGACGTCTTGGAGAAGCAAGAGAGCTGAGGCATAAAGAATAAATCTTTGAGAGCTTTCGGTGAGATTATGTGCAACTTAGTTTTGCGGGTTTGTGCTTGTGTGATCAAGTGGTTTTGTTTCGAAGTCTAGGCTCAAGGGGAGTTTAGCTCAGGGTTAGGTTATCCTGATTAAATCTAGACTCAAGGGGAGTTTAGTTAAGGGTAGAGATTATCCTTAAGGTTTCACGTTATAGAAGGGAGCGGTAAATCAAGAGGGTTGGGCTTGTTTTACGCATTTGCGAATTGGTTGTAATTTGCTTTCTTGTTCTAGTGGAATCGAAATCTGGACGTGGTTCCGGGGAGTAGGAAAAACCGAACCTCGTTAACAAATTTCTTGTCTCGTTTACTTTCCGCAATTTATCGTACCTCATCCGCACTTACATAATCTTCTTCTACAGAACCAAAATCTGATTGGGAAAGTAAAAAAGAAAAAACTCATAACAAACTTGACCTGTTCTCTTACATCACATTATCATTACGAAGACAATACAAAAAAAGTTTTGTGGACCAGTATCTATTATGGTCATTAATGTGTTAGGTCATCAAACACTTTTGAATATTAAAATTTAAAATCCTCAACTGAATTATTGTACAATTCAAAATTGGAACACATCAAGATCAAGTTTTTTTAAAAAAAATTGATGAGTGAATTAGCTTAAAACTGCTCTCCAACCATTTCATATTCAGGTTTGATCTAAACCCTGATTTTGCTTTTTTTACGTCTCTAACCACTTTGTACCTAATTAACTATGACGATTCATATTCTTAAAAAGTTTAATATTCCAAAGTTGAAAACTAGATAATACAGAAAAAGAGCTAATAATATATCTCAAGAATTTACGATAAATGAGACCAAAGTACATAATTAACAGAACTAAACAAACTCAAAAGTACATTTGACATTTGAAATACCCTTGTAAGAGAAAAACTTGTCCAAAGACATACAAAGACGACAAAACTGTGGAAATTACCGAATATACCCCTACTCCCAGCTTTGATGGATAAAACAAAACTTCAAAATAAAAGGCCAAATACGTGAATTCACAGTAGGTTATCTCCTCTGCTACGTTTTAAAACTCTTTCTATCCCACTCTTCCAAAAGAGATTCTCAAGTCACTAAAATAAAAGAGCAAAACCAAGCAGATGATTTCAATCAACAACAATATCTAAAAGAAAGTGATCATCTTTTACTTTTTTGTTTTTATTCTTTTTTGACCCACAAAATTCTTCATCAATCACTGTGTCTGCATGATTGTTTTATATATATATAAAAACTGCAAAATTTTGTTCTTTAATTTTGTCAGATTCGTATAAAGTAAAGTTTCTGAGATTCATTAAAATATTTATTTGATTACAGATCTGCTATAGATTTACGGATTCTAGTGCAAAGAGAAGGAAGTTGTCGGCGAAAGGTAAGGTATCCGATGATTCTTTATATATTAATCAAGTGGATCTGTTTTACTCTCACTGACTATTTTCTCAGTGAAGATACAAAAACTTGAGAATTTTTTTTATTTTTTTTCACTCTCGTTGCCGACGAAATTGGTTTTTCATTTTCTTAGGAAAATCTTTGACAAGATGATTCAAATGGACGGTGGAGATAGGCTGAGAGTGACTTTGTTTGATCGAATGTCAACGGTGGAGAATGGCCGGAGCTCAGTGACTCTAGAAGATATTCTGATGGCTGAAACGAGCAGTTTCCGATCTCTTACTGCGCCGCCTTCTCCGGCGAGAAACCACTCGAATAGTAGTTTACTTGACGTGATGAGAAGAGAGCGTCGCCGTGATAAAACCGCTTGGAAATCTCTCCGGGATAAGCTCCGCCTTAAACGCGCCGCTACGGGTTGGATTTCGTCTAATCCTATCCCTAATTTGGATAATCCTATCCTTACTCCGGATAGCGACAGCCACCGGTTTAACCGCCTTGGATTCCTCCTATCTAATTCGGAGACAAACCGGAGCAATGGTGATGTCAGCGATGGTGGAGAGGAAGCGGCAGAGCGAGAAGGAAGGCTCCGGCTAGGCACGGTGTTGGCGGCGGATAGAGAGGTATTAATGTGTATCAGTTAGTTAATCAGTTAGTTAGTTAGTTAGTTAGTTAGGTTGTTAGTTAGACGGTTAAACTTCATATCCTCTGTTTCTAATTCACAATTAATGAGAACAATTTTATGTTATAAATTTTCATCCAATTAGGAAATGCAGCCGCCGAGGATGTCTTTAATGGAGTTGTTGGAGGATAATGATGGACAAATGTATGAGGTCAACGCGAGAGAAGAGGCGGAAGCGGAGGAAAGAGATTGTTGCGGCCGCGGAGGAGAGGCGGTGGCGGTGACGGGGGCAGCGGAGTTGGGTTGTTGTGTGTGTATGATAAGGAGTAAAGGTGCGGCTTTTATACCTTGTGGACATACATTTTGCAGATTGTGTTCGAGAGAGCTTTGGGTACAGAGAGGAAACTGTCCTCTATGTAACACTGCCATTTTACAAGTTCTTGATATTTTCTAGCTTAGCTTCTTTTGCATTTTTGTATTATTTAGGTGTGTCTATTGTTTTCTTTACTTGTTTGTTTGTGAAGTGATGAATCTCAAACAATGAACCTTCACAACAATGCTTAATCGAAGGCCAAAAGCTCAAAACGAGACTAAACTGCCATATTCACACTCGAGATCGTTCTAGAAAGAAAGACATAATGGTTTCTCTATTAACCGACATGACGACGACATTTTACAATCGGCATCTTTTGAAGCCACTAGTTCTAAATTGACTACGATGATAAGAGAAACTTAACACCTAGTATAATGATGAACCGATTACAACTTCCAACATAACTCTTCAGAACCACCATCACCGCATAAAAGCGCCATTCAACCCCACATTACCGAAACTGCCATGAATAATCATGATTGATGCTATACTTTGCTGAATAAGTTCCCATAACTCAAAACATAATATAGAAACTATAAGAAAAAAGGTTCATAGATCGAATCGTCAAAACTCAAAAATAGCATAAGAGAAAATATACATAAGAGGATCACATAGTTGAATTAAAAGCTTGAAATCAAAGGAGAGAGTTCTACGAATACACCAACGTTGTGTTGGCCCAGTGGTAAATCTCCCAGGTGGAGATACTGGGCTCGACGCCCGTTGGGAGGGATCTCTTCTCCAAATGAGATGAATTTAACCTGATGTGGGTCCCGTCTCTGGGAGATGTAGGGCCTTCGGGCTTGAACTTCCACATATTCAAAAAAAAAATATCATTTGGACGCTTTTTTGGTCTATATCCCCCAAAAAGAAAAACAACCCTTTGTATCTCTTGTGCCAAGATTTGAAGCTAGAAGAATTCAGAATCACGGAAACCTTCTAGTTGTAGTAGAATCTTCCGCGCATGGTCAGAACCGTTAGGCTTGACATTGAGGAAATATACTAGGACAGAAATGATAGCTAATAAGTTTAGTATTTTGCACCTTTTAAATCATCACACACTAACATATTAACTCTCGACGTTCATGTCAATGTGGATTCAGCACAATGTATTGTCGCTTGTATAATTTTCGGATAGCTAATGTATTGTCGCTTGTATAATTTTCGGCACTATATATCAAATACTTCGTGTATAGATCCTCACCATGATGATAGTTCATCATGTATACTATAAATTGACATTTTTCCCATGTAACAACATAATACTTTGGAACTATAAGTCATTGTATCTCATACATAATCAACATGCAATATATTCTTTAACGTCTTGCATAAACTTTTGCAAAGCCACATGTGAAGATCCACCTTCCATTAACGCCACGTGAAACTTCTCTGCCATCTCCTTCACTCTATCTCTAACATCACTATCCTCCTCCATCACACGCTTCATCGCTCTCTCTATCTCCTCCACCGTAACCGTCTCCATCTCTCCGGCCAACAACTCTCCTTTTAAATACTTCCGAATCTCCACCGCCAATCCCAGCTCCTCCACCATCTCGAACGCGTTTACCTTCTGTTCTGAGTAAAGCGGCCACGCCACCATCGGAACACCAAACCACAAGCTCTCTAACATCGAGTTCCACCCGCAATGAGTGACGAATCCTCCTACCGCCACTTTCGCTAGCACCGCCACTTGCGGTGCCCATCCAATTACCTTCCCTTTATCCGATGTACGATTTAGGAAACCCTCCGGGAGAACTTCCTCTAGGTTTGTGAAATCTCCGGGACGTTCCATCATTATATTCCGTGATGCACGATGGAGAGACCAAAGAAACCGGTAACCGCTTCGTTCTAGCGCGACGGCGATTTCTTTTGTTTGTTCCTCATTAAAACCTCCCATGCTCCCAAAACAGAGGAACACAACAGATTTAGCCGGTAGCTCATCGAGCCACCGCAAAATCTCCGATTGCTTCTCGTCTTCGAGATGCAAAACTGGTCCTATTGGATAAACTTGAGGAAGATCACCACCAACATTGTTGAACATTTTCAAAGCGTGTGGCTCAAGTTCAGCAACTGTATTTACCAAAATACCCTTTATCTTTCGGAATTTTCTAGCTTGAGCTAAAAACAAAGGTAGCCACTGTTTTGAAGTGAAGAGATAAGGCAGTAACTTCACAGGATAAGGACGAGTCAAACACGGAAACTCTAACTAACTGACCGAGTCTTCTAACTCGCTAACGTCATACTTTTTCTCGTCGTGCATTAGCTGAATGTGAAGTGTAATTCCCAAAAACGTAGCGTTCGATGCATAGAACATATAAATCGGAATATCGAATTCGTTAGCTACATCTATCATTGAGAAACAGAACATATCCACCACGAATCCAGCGAGCCGTCGTGTTGGATCATTGACTATTCTCAAGACTATATCTCTTACCTTTGGCTTTTGATTCTCGATGTAGACTTGAGTCGGCTGGTTTGGATCTGCGGTTGTTGGTTGATCTTTGATGGAGATGGTTTCATAGCGGAGGCGATCTTGAGATGTCGTTGAGAGTGATGCTATATAGGTAGAATCATCGGCGATGTTGTTTATGGAAGGGATGATGATCACGGTGATGGAAAGGCGGTCATCGCTGTGGACAAGTCGCTTCGCTAACTCGATGGTTGGCTTGCGATGACCGATACCTGGTAATGGTATGAAAACAAGCTCAATCTTCATTTATCAGTTTGGTTAGAAGTAGTAAAGCTGATGTATATGATTTGCTAGAAGTTAAGGCGACTGATTTATTGGTTTCTATGATTCGCTAATCTTCAATATACATCTTCATTTATCAGTTTGGTTTCTATGATATGCTAGAAGTTAAGGCGACTGATTTATAAGTGGAGTGTAGAGAGGTTATGAAAGTATACCTTGTAAACTTGTCACTAAACAAATCAATTCATTTTCTCAGAGTGACTACTCACAGGATTTTGATTATCTAGTGACAAAGAGTACTGTCATAATTCATAAAATAAAGAAGAGACCAAAATCAAAGTAAATGAGTTGGGTAATTTTACATACCAAAGAGACGCCTATGTTAATCATGTGAAGTCATCTTCTTCTTGAAATACATATATCTCCGAAAATTCGAGTTAGAAAGGATCTAGTTTTTTCTTTAAAAAAAAAAAAACTTTCATATAACTAACATGTATATGTTAGAGCTATTACCTGTTTTCTATGGACAACTGTATCATTATTTTCCCTATTTTTGAATTTTATTTTCAAGAAAGATTTTCATTTTTTTAGATTGTGGACTGCTATTTAAATAAAAAGAAAAAAACTAATTACTAGGGAATTCGGAAAAGCTCCTATTATATGTGAACAATTAGGAGATCGATGTGTTATGAAAATTTCTGATGATAATTCACAAGAGCCTTTACGTGATTATATAGCAGAAAGACGATATCTAGTTTCCTAAAGGAATACAATCATAATCAATTTACATTTAAGATGAATGATACGGGAGCGTATCACATTGATGATATGATACGTTATTACCCCCTCTCAAGCTGGTGCGTGGAGATCAAGAATGCCCAGCTTGTCGCGGAATAACTTGTATGCTTGTCGTCCTAATGGTTTTGTAAAGATGTCGGCTAGCTGTTGAGTAGTTGAAACATGATGTGGAGACATTGTACCTTTTTGTATCTCATCACAAACGGCGTGACAATCATTTTCGATGTGTTTCGTACGCTCATGAAAGACCGGGTTTGTACTGATATGAATTGCTGCTTTGCTATCGCAGAAAATTTTCATCGGTTGATTGTGTACCACTCCCATTGATACAAGTACCTTCTTTATCCAGAGTAGCTCGTCGCGAAGGAAGGACATTGTCCTGTATTCAGCTTCAGCAGATGACTTACTAACCGTTTCTTGTTTCTTTGTTTTCCACGAGATAGGAGACTGTCCTAACTGAACAAAGTAGCCGGTGACTGAACGACGACTGATAGGATAGCTTAACCAGTCAGAATCACACCAACCATTAACCTGAAAATCATTATCAGAACTCAAAAGAATTCCTTGACCAACAGTACCTTTAATATAACGCACAACCCGTAATGCAGCATTCCAATGGTCTTCACGTGGCTGTTGCATAAATTGGGCCAATGTATGAACACAAAATGCTAAATCAGGTCTAGTTGATGCCAAGTAGATAAACCGACCAATGAGTCTTCGATATGGTGATGGATCAATCAGCAGTGCCGATGTCGATAAAGCTAGCTGATGATTTTGTTCCAAGGGAAACGAAGCAGGCTTGGAAGCTAAGTGACCAGTCTCGGTGACAATGTCCAAAGCATACTTGCGTTGACTTAGATAAAAACCAGACTTGTTGTGAGAGACCTCAATTCCCAAGAAGTATTTCAAAGCACCTAGATCTTTCATCTTGAAGCAAGTAGAGAGATAGGCCTTAAATTCTTCCAACACCGCGATGTTGTTGCCGGTGAGGGTCATGTCATCGACATATATGAGCAAACAAATCTGAATTCCTTGTTTATCAAACGTGAACAAGGAATAGTCAGCATGTGTTTGCTGAAAACCATATTCACGCAAAGATGCTGTTAGCTTTTCGAACCAGCATCGCGTAGCTTGTTTGAGACCGTAAGAGCATCTCCAATGGTGAGAACCCCTCAAGAGGCTCTCACCATTTTTTAAGTTTAAATTTTGCTTTTATCAAACTTAAGAACTTGAATTGGAGTCCTTAGATTCTGTCTCCTCCAATGGTGGGGTTCTTATGAAAAACTTTAAAAATTGTTAAACAAAGCATATATGTTTTTTTGCAATACATGTTTGTTTTTACTCGTACAAGACATTGTACAATCTATTAAGAGAGTACTAGAGACATTACAACCAATGAACACCATTGCACATAGACATTAAAGTAGTTGCACAAGCTTGAAGTTACTTACAAGGGGAACATGGTTTCTACCCCCAACTCCAGCAACAAGCCTTCTAATTCTATATGTTGAGTTAAGACCAGCATTACGCCTTGCTACGACGACGGCTTCTACAATCGAATACAAGCCTCTTGTTCTCAAGCACTTCCTGTTCAAACAAAGTAAATGGCAAGCCTATGAAAGGTTTCACTTAGAAGATGAAAGATAGCTTGATCCCATTCCCACAAGAAAAAGAAATTACAATCTAGGCAAACTGTATATGACTTTTATTAGCTGCACAATGTAACCGGGTTTTATCTCTGAAATCTCTCTAAGAGTTGTCATTTACTCAACTGTTTCCTTGTCTACAAACCGCTTGAACTTGATTATCTGAGACACAACACAATCTGACAACATCATTAAAAAAGAGTTTGATTCTTCGAACAATCCTATTAAAACAAAAGGATCACATTACTATGTTCCATGTCTATAACATAACACACAAGGCAAACCAGAGCCAACCTCAATTCCATAGCATATAACAACGAAGCTTACCAAAGCATAACAAACTTCTTCAAGTAACGGACAAGCAAATCTGCTTTCCTCGATCCTTAGTACTCCATTGGAACTCCATGGTCATAGAGCTGCGTCTAACTGCAACTGGATCAACAAAAAGAACATAAGAAGAACATATTTGAAGCATTAATAAGCCACATCTTCCATTAAAACCGAACATTGTATAAAATTCGATGACATAACACTGAAATTGGATTGATCAATTGTTATATAACCAATAATAAACCTAAATTCGACAAAGAAATTGCAAACAAACAAATCCAAATCGTACTAAAGCGAGATTGAGACGCTTGCAGTGGCCACACCAAGGAGCATAGCAATCAACAAAGATGCAATCAAAAGTTGAAATCGCCGAATCAAAATTTGAATCTGTGAGTTCTAGTACTGTTCCGTCAACGGTGAATTGATCATCCGACGATGCAACGATTGAGATTGATAACGTTAGAAACGAGATCCAACAGAGTAATAAACATAACAATCGCATCTCGATCTGATTTTCAGACCAAACTTAAGAAGCTTCTGATACTAGACTGTTATCAGCAAGAGAGATGAGCAACAGAGAATTAGTCGTGAAAGATAGTCGAGCGAGAGAGAGATAGGGCACAGGGCAAAAAAAAAATTGTTAAAAAAATTCAACCAACCAATCATGGTTGCCACGTAACCGGCTCTCTCAGGTTACAAAAGCTCTTTCAAGAGACCCGATTCTCTGCATATTAATGTATTTTCATTTATTTTTATTACAATTAAATGAGAGAACCCTACTTTTTGAGGAGAAAGCCTCCCTTTGGAGATGCTCTAAATAGACTTCCTTAGCCGGCATACATTTTGCTCATCCTGTGAATAAAAACCAGTAGGTGGTTTCATATACACCTCTTCATCACGATCCCCGTGCAGAAAAGCGTTGTGGACGTCCATCTGATAAACTGGTCAATCATTCCCAGCTGCGACCTTCAAGAACAAACGGACAATACCCATTTTGGCGACTGGAGCAAAAGTTTCACCGTAATCTTCTCCTTCAATCTGTTTATTACCAAGAGCAACCAGCCTTGCCTTGTAACGTTCAATGGTTCCATCCGAATTGTATTTGATTTTGTAGACCCACTTGCTTCCAATGGCTCGTTTACCAGGTGGAAGATCTTCCAATGTCTAAGTTTTGTTTTCTTCTAAAGCACCTACTTCCGTACCCATGGCTTTCTTCCATCGTTCATTCTCTATTGCAGATTTAAAAGATCTCGGCTCAATATTCTCAGTGATAGCCGCTAAGTAGCAACGATGAGTCTCTGAAACTGAGTACATGAGACATAATTAGCAATAGGGTATTGGGTATTACCATATTTGGTGAGCAGCTTCCCTTGTGCATTTTTAACCACATAATTTTTGAGTTTTACAGATGGAATCTTTTGTCTCTTTCCTCGACCCAATAGTTCCGGTGGAGGTGGAGCAGGGATCGTAGAAGTCGATGAATCACTAGAAGTGGTTGTCGTACGAGTTTCAGGGTTAGTGGACTGAGACGACGTCGTCACTGGAGACACAGATGGAGAGGATTCAGACGATGATGGCGTCGGGGATGAAACCGACGGCAAACGCGAAGAAGATGAGGAAGCATTGTTTATGTCTAGGCCCGTTGGGAGAATTGGACCAGAATTCTGCAATGGGTTTTTGCCCTTATTGGGCATGTCTTCAATTTCAGGGAATTGAATTAAACCAATTGGAGCCCATAGCGCTTCTTCTTCTTCGTTTCCAAAACCTGAAGCCGACGAAGTCGTTGGAGAAAACAGGAATTGATCTTCATAGAACACCACATCACGGGAGATAAAGAATTCTTCTGTTTCAAAATCGTATAATCTCCACCCCTTTTTGCCGTAAGGGTAGCCAACAAACACACATTTTTGGCTCCTTGATTCAAACTTGTCTTTCTTGTGACCTTGATTATGAGCATAGCAGAGACTGCCAAAGACTCTTAAGTGTGTATAATCTGGCTCTTTGTTATACAGTTTCTCATATGGTGTTAAACCATTTAGAACTGAAAAAGGAGTACAATTAATTAAGTAACCCGCAGTAAGAATACACTCTCCCCAAAACTGAATTGGTAAGTGTACTTGAAAGCGTAAGGCCCGTGCTACATTCAAAATGTGTCTGTGCTTTCGTTCTGCTCTGCCGTTTTATTGTGGTGTTCCCACACAGGAAGTCTCTTGAAGAATCCCTTGTTACCGGAAGTAACTTGCTAAACTTGTGAATTCGGTTCCATTATCACTACGAAAACTTTTAACTTTTGTCTGAAACTGTGTCTCAACCAAAGAGATAAAATTCTTGATGCAATGTGAAGCTGTGCGGTAAGGACCCCATAAGTCTGAATGCACTAATTGAAAAACTTGTGTAGTTTTATTGATACTAGTTGGAAATGGAGATCGAGTTTTCTTGGCGCGGAGACAAACATCACACGCCTTATTCAAAATATCATAACGAACAGAAACAGAAACATTCTTAAGAGAACTAAGAACTTGTGCAGCCGGATGTCCTATGCGATGATTCCACAACTCATATGATTTTTCAGCTTGAGTCCGCACCGATGCTGCCAATTCTATTCTGCGAAAGTAGAAGGTTCCCGACTCTCTCTTACCCGCTCCAATCGCGGTCCTGAACCATAAAAAACTGATCAGCTAGTTGAACAACGCAACGGTTCTCATCCATTAACTGTCCTACATCTATCAAATCTGTCGTTAACTCCTCAACAAAATAGACCAATTTCAAAACCAAATGTGAACCTAGCACCATTGATCCTTCTTTTACCGAAATCCTCTCTCTACCATCAGCCAATATGACTAAAACAGGTTCCATATCTCGAACATTTGTGAGAAGATCAAAGTTACCTGTTAAATGATGAGAGGCGCCCGTATCTAGTATCCAAGTAGGTGTTGAAGACTTACCCGAGAGTTTCTCTGTGCTTGTGCTAGCACCTCCGTTGAGCAAGTTCTTCAAACGACGCCACTCCGCATCATTGAGACCATTCACGCCATCACGATCTTTGTCAGTGATAACGTAATTCGCTTGTTCCGTCACTGGCATTGTAGGAACATGAACAGCATTTGCGTAATTGATATTACGCCCACGACCAATGGATGCAGCTCCTGGTGTTGTTCCTCTTCTTCGTTCTGTCACCACACGGCTGCGCGGTCGCTCTCCCAACCACTCAGGATAACCAACAACAGCAAAGCAACTGTTGGAAACATGACCTGACCGATTACAGTGTTTACACACAACAACATTCTCAAAAGCATCAATACGAGCCGAGTTGATACGCGGCCTGGTGTGTACTGCATGAGCAACAACTTGTGGTGAATCTTCAATGTGGTGAATGGTGGTTTTGAGATTCTCTTCTTGACGAACAACGTTGTAAACCTCCTCCAAATGCTGAATGGGAACACGCGAGACCAAGGAAGATCTCACTGTCCTAAAATTATCATCAAGACCAGACAAAAACTCATGGACTTTGTCAGTTTCACGATCTTGCTCTTGAAGAGTTCCGAGATCGCACTCACATTTCCCACATTTGCAAACGCGCAGTGGTCGATAGTGAGCCATATTGTCCCAAATCCAGTTCAATTTGCCGTAGTATGCCTCAATGGCAAGTCCACGTTGCTTGCAACACGCCAACTCCGACTTCAGCTGCTGAATACGGGGTCCGTTGGTCACAGAAAATCGTTTCTTCAAGTTGTCCCATAGATCCTTCGCAACATCACGATGATAGATGCTTGAGCGAAGAGAAGGATCAATGGACATCTTGATCCAGGAGACAAGCAAGGCTTGAATCGTCCACCAATCTTCAAGATCCGCAGATCCGTCGTCTGGTCGGGCAATGGTTCCATCGAGAAAGCCGAATTTCTTGCGAGAACAGAGAGCTGTCTTCGTTCCGCAAGCCCATTCGTCGTAGTTAGATCCCTTGAGTAAGGGATGAGAAATCACGGCACCTGGGTTATCAGCAGTAGTAAGGTCATAAGGAGAGATCGTTCTTCGTGTCTTCATCGGGTTCGGGGTCTGGTTCGTTTCAGTTGCTTCAGAGTTCGTTGGAGTAGCCATTGATCAGAAAAATCTTGTTTAAAAAATCAAAGAAGAGAAAAGAATCGGAAAATTTTTTTGTCAAGGCTCTGATACCATGAACAATTAGGAGATCGATGTGTTATGAAAGTTTCTGATGATTATTCACAAGAGCCTTTACATGATTATATAGCAGAGAGACGATATCTAGTTTCCTAAAGGAATACAATCATAATCAATTTACATTTAAGATGAATGATACGGGAGCGTATCACATTGATGATATGATACGCTATTAATATGATTCAATTAAAAGCCTAATTTAGTTTTTTAGAGATGACAAAACCATATTTTGGATTCCAAAAAAAAAACCAATTTAATATCCTTAGATCATGAACCTGGTTGTTTACTATAATCTCTTCTTGGAAACACTTGCTTGGAGTTATTGGTTCTTCGAGCTGATTGACTTAGTACATCGATCTAGTATTGACTTGATAGTTCTAGCATGTTATTGTGTTCAATTTTCCCAAACCCTATGCGTAAAACCATCATGACTTATGGTCGAAGAACACTGCACCACTAAAGATATTGGATCAATTACCCCAGCCTCGATTCGTTGGGGTGGGACCATTGCTACCAACTTTGTTTATTGAGCTATCCTCTTATGGAGAGAAACCGCCGAAGTTTCCATGATGCATCAATATGTTTCGTGCCGATGATTTACAAGGCAAATGATGTATTTTCAACGTCACGAAATTTTTTGATTGTGACTATATCTAAACACCCGAATTTTTTCGCGGATGTGTCTTCGATACACCATGAGCTTGCTTGTGGCGTGTTGATTTTTAGCATACGTCTCCGAGTCTCTATGGCCCTATCATCTACCTTTATGGCTTCTCAAACCTATCTTTCTAGAGGTAATATTAGTAAGTAACATTTGACTCAAAAAGAATTAAGAACATAGCCATGAGTCAGAAATAGGAAACTAACATTTTTGAGAAAGGAGGAATATCAACACTCCCCTTAAAAATGTAGCAGCATATTGACAAAGATGTAGCAGCGTATTGTTATTTGTGAAAAAACATGTCGTTTGACAAAAATATAATGTTATACTAAAAGAAAATGCGTGTCATTTAGAAAATAATGTGTGTTTTAACATTAAAATCATGTTTTTGGAAGAAATCACATGTGATCTTTATAAATAACGTGTAATATAGAAAAATAACATGTTGAAGAGAGAGATCTTCCGTTATCACGTGTAATTCGATTAGTTAGCGTGTTACAAAAGAAAATGATGGACAATTAAAAAAAAGCATGACGACACAAAAAGATTAAAATCCGACGAAATAAAGAGAAAGATCTTCTACAAATTGAGAGAAAGAACCCATCAATATGAAGAGCGTTTGGCATCCCAAATTTATCGAGAAAGAGAAATATTGGCGGCAACATAGAATTTGTCGGAGCGTAGTTGTGAATGCAAAAAAAGAAGAAAGAAAAAAGACGAAAGTGTTGGGATCATTTCATCTACATTTCTGACAAATCACTGTAGTTCATGGTTAGTTACTTAATTATTTTCATAATTCTATGAGTAGTTTCTACATGTTCCCTATAATATCTTTGTTGTAAGTTTATGTTTCCTTAATGCTATCGTTCCCAACCATGTGGTTTAAGAGTTTGTATAATTATATGCCCGTTTGGGTTTGATTGAATGGAAAACAAAGTAGTTTGCAACCCAAAAAAGAAAAAAATCATGAACTTGGTAAAATCTGGTTTTGGTTAAGATAACCGACATGTCCCGTAACCAAACAATCAGCTTTCGGTTTATCGAGTTCGGCCCACAACCAAAGAAATCTGGGCCTGGGCCTTTAAATTTCTCATCAGTTTTTTTTTTTTTTCCCTTTCCCAGGAAAAGAAACAGAAACGGAAACGAGATCTAGCACAGACGTCTCGTGTCGTCGCCGGAGAAGACAACTACGAACAAAGCGGAGAGAGAGAGAGAGAGAGAGAGAGAGAGAGAGAGAGAGAGAGAGAGAGAGAGAGAGAGCTTCATAAACCCTAATAGATCAAATTTCTCCATTTCCGGTGAAGAAAAAGATGAATATTTTCAGATTAGCCGGTGATATGAGTCACCTCGCTAGTGTTCTTGTCTTACTTCTCAAGATCCACACCATCAAATCCTGCGCCGGTATGTTCCATTCCAAAATTGATACAATGGAATCGATTTTTTGAATGATTCTTATTCTTGATTCGATTCTGTTACTGAATTTGTGTGAATCTCCATTTACTTTGGAATTTTCAGGTGTATCGTTAAAGACTCAAGAACTCTACGCCATTGTCTTCGCTACGCGATATTTAGATATACTTACGAGTTTTTATTCTATCTATAACACTCTAATGAAGTTGATATTCTTAGGAAGTTCTTTTTCAATAGTTTGGTACATGAAGTATCATAAGACTGTTCATAGGACTTATGATAGAGAACAAGATACGTTTCGTCATTGGTTCCTTGTGCTTCCTTGCTTTCTCTTAGCTCTTTTGATTCACGAAAAGTTTACCTTTCTCGAGGTTTGTTTCTTGCTCGCCAGAACAATTTTATCGCATTTTTATGTTTCTTCGGTGTGAATCACATCTTGTATATATTATCAGGTCCTGTGGACTTTTTCATTGTACTTGGAGGCTGTTGCTATACTTCCTCAGCTTGTTTTGCTGCAGAGGACTAGAAATATCGACAACTTGACTGGACAATACATATTTCTCCTCGGGTAAGTTGACGTCTTTTTCCATGGCAATTGTGTTTTAAGTTTCAAATTTGGTATACGAATTATGTCGTCTTGTTACAGGGGATACCGAGGATTCTACATACTCAACTGGATTTATCGTTACTTCACTGAACCACACTTTGTTCACTGGATAAGTATGACTATTTTACCTCTCTCAATGTTCTTTGTCAAGTCTCTGTCAGGCATATTATTGCATCTGTTGATATGTTTGTGCCTACTTAGATTAGTGAACCTCTTAAGAATCACAGTTTTTTAGTTTCTGTTGTCTTTGTGGATTATTTGACACAATTCAACTCTTGTGTTGTAGCATGGATTGCTGGGCTCGTTCAAACATTTCTCTACGCCGATTTCTTCTACTATTACTTCCAAAGGTAACAAATACTTCCATCTTTGGCCTCTTTGTTCATTAAAGATACACAGAACTCTTGACTATATGGTTTTGGTTTACCATCACAGTTGGAAAAACAATAAAAAGCTGCAGCTACCAGCATAGTCTCTAATTTTTCGATGCTTAAGACGGGAAATTTGGGATTGATTACTACTGGTTATAGAAGAGAAGGTTATATAGAATGTGTAAACTCTCCAGTGATCTAACTTGTTGTACTTTTTATTGTCATAAAAACTGTTTTTGTTCTGCTTCAAGATTAGTGTACTAAATCCCTCTATGAACATTTAACATTATTTTGAATGCTCTCAAGTATAAAGAGTTAATTTGTGGAATATATAAACCGTATTAAATTGAGATTTTAGCATTCTATTTGTGTATCCTTCAAGTCACTGACCTTAAGGTTTGAGGCTGATGTTTTGGTAACATTGTGTAATTTTCTTCTTAAAGAACATCTCCAATGAGTAAGAAGTAAGAATATTAAAAGTAATGATAATCAAGACATGGTAGGGAGAATCATATAGTTAATAATTTAGTTGTAAATTTTCAATGAATGCTATTTATGGTGTGATGATTTTTCTCTTGCGAAATGAATGTGGAACATACTCATTCACAAATTTTGGTTCTTCAAAATTATAAATAGCTTGAACTATGTGAATAGTGTTACTGATTTAGAATCTTTAATCCATGAACCAACAATTAGATAAAAGCATTATTAGTAAACTAGAAATTCAATGTTATAATAAAATTAGTAGATGACATGATAGAAATATATTTTTGTGTTTATAAGTACTTTTCAGTTTTCACAAGCCTCGACGATTAACTTGAATTTCGGTAAAAATTATTCATTTCAAGTATCAAAGTCATAGTAAAGTTCTTAAAGGATGATCATTTTTTGCATCTTCTAAAGAAAAAACAAATCTTTTTTTTTGTCATCTCAAAATAATTAGAGCTCAAAAGAGCCATTCCTGTGGAATGTTGTTTACAAATGTGATATGAAGCGGTTCTGTACGAATTTTTCGTGCCAGATGATCTGCTTTTACATTAGCATTGCGAGAAATTAAAGATAAAGAGAAGGATGAGAATTCTTCCTTGTCGCTCTGAAATTCCTCCAAGTACACTGAAAATGCCGGCCATTCGGTTGGAGAAGACACCATCTTAACCAGATCAGAACAGTTATAAGGAACTCTACGTCTTGATTATCTGCACCTATCATACACTTCATCGCCCAGAGAAGGGCCTCGAACTCGGTATGTAATGGAGATAAACTTCGACGAAGATTTGCAGCTCCCATGGTTGGCGGCTCTCCGTTTGATGATGTACAGAACCATCTTGTACCGGAGAACTTATCACTTTCTTTCCACGATCCATCCACAAAGCAACGGTATCCTGAATAAATTGAGTTAAGTGAAGTATTCCCCACTCGAGACTGATTAACCAATTCCACAGTACCATGAGTTTCATGATGAAGCTCATTTTGGGCAGACTGCCACAATTGTGCTTCTTTTTCCGCTAACCGTAATACCTCTAATGGATCTTTATCAATATTTTCAAATATTTTTCATTCCTTGCTTTCCATATATACCAGATAATCCATGGAAAAGCTGAAGAGTCAAATTCCGAAGGTATTCTCCAAAATAAATGGTCCAAATTCGCAAAAATAGACTCCGTTGGAAAAATTCCCATTGATGTAGGAATCTGAGAGAGTGCCCAAACATGTCGTGCCGGGTGACACTAAAAGATTGTATGATTGATTGTTTCCACTGGTTCGCCACATCTAGCACAACCTGTATCACAATCAATTCCTCTTCTCCGTAAATTTTCCGTAACTGGTACACAACCCATTAAAATTTGCCATAAGAAATGACATATCTTAGGTGGACAATGCACTTGCCAAGAATGTGCTTTTAGCGGTTTTATGTCTGGACCAATCAATGAGAGAATTGTCTCCAAATTTCCTAACCGTGCGGTATGATATCACGATTTGACTGTATATTTTCCGAATCTTGTAAAATGCCAACCCAGTGTATCCTCCTTAGTTGGCGTACCCATAGGCAGAGCACTTATAGAAAAAAACAAATCTTGTCAATATAACAAACTATTAATTAGAGGTTAAAACGAAAATAGTCATTGTCAATGCATTAAAAACGAATTTAACAAATCAGCGTCCCATCAATACTCTTTAATACTAGATAACACGTTTATGTGTATGTATAGGTGTAGATGAGTGTCCGCGTGAAAACAGCCATAACCCTAGTATCTATAGGTGGTGATGATATGCTAATAAATATGATTTATGATTATGTAAAAATGGTATATAATCTCGTTGGTCAAGAAATGTGAAAGGATCAATAAAAGTTGTCAAGAAAACAATTAAGATGGAATATATTTTGATCTTTGGTTTTGTTTCGACACTGTTGTTGATCATTAAGACTGATGCTACTAGGGTTCATGGAGTTAAAAGAATTGACATAAACCAAGAAGCTGGTTTTGATGAGAACTATGTGGTTACATGGGGACAAGATCACGTCTTCAAATCCTACCAAGGCAAAGAAGTTCAGCTCTCCATGGATTATTCTTCAGGTTCTTTCATTTGTTCTTTTATTTCTTTTTTTAGATACAATTTACGATGTTTTTCTTAGAATTATTGCGTGTATTGATTTTATAACCCGTACAGGTTCTGGCTTTGAGTCCAAAAACCACTACGGTTCAGGACTTTTCCAAATGAGAATCAAAGTGTTTGGAAACAATTCTGCTGGTGTTGTCACTGCCTTTTACGTTCGTATTCTTTCTCTATAGTCATTTTACATGAATTTGGATTCTCACCATTGGTGAAACTTTTTTATGTATATAATATTTGTGAATTGGTTATAGTTGACTTCTAAAGGAGACACCCAAGACGAGGTTGACTTTGAGTTCTTGGGGAACATAGAAGGCAAACCAATAACATTACAGACAAATGTGTACACTGAAGGCAAAGGAAATAGAGAACAAAGGTTTTCTCTTTGGTTCGATCCAACTACTGATTTCCACACTTATGGCATTCTTTGGAATCCATATCATATCGTGTACGTACTTTCTCCTCTCTATGAATACTAAATGAGTAATCCCGTTCTGTGCGATTTTTTTTTTGTTTTATGCATTTGTAAATTTTTCGTTTAATTATTTTTACGTTTTGACCAAACAACAAAAAGTATTATTTTTACGAAAGAAAATTTCTAATAATAATTTTTTTATTGTTTATCCGAGTTGTTTATCATTGATATCTTGACATAGGGGTCAACTTGAACCATCTAGTGTTAAAGTTCTATTGATTTATCTGAATTTTGTATAATTTTTTTGACGTAAAGTTAAACTTATTCGCTTTTATTTTCTTGTTATTTGTGTTAATATTGAATTATTCTCGTTAAAATAGCCATTTTTCTGTTTTAAAGACTTTTCAAAATAGGTACGGTGTAGAATATATATATTACAACTAAAACTTTGAGAGATTTATGAATCATAGAAGATAAGAGATGAATAAGTTTTATGGTTAGTGAAAAATCTAACATGCATATAAAAGTATTTGAAACACTAAAAAAAAAAAAGGATGAACGGAACTTCGTCTATTTTGTTATTTTTGATAAACATATCTATGTATATATTTATGACGATGTGAGTGTCAATCATGGATTGATTTCATTAGACTATTGTATATACGATTATAAAATCAACAACAATATATAATCCAAACAATAAAAGACAATGAATTCCACACTCTATATATAGATTATTAATAGTGTTGATTTATATTTATAAAGACAAGCTTTTTAATAGTGTTGATTTATATTTATAAAGACAAGCTTTGTTTATAGGTTTTACGTGGATAATATCCCAATAAGAGTGTTCAATAACAATACAAGCACTGGCATGAGCTATCCATCAAAGCCTATGCAAGTGGTGAGTAGTTTGTGGAACGGAGAAAATTGGGCAACAGATGGTGGCAAAACCAAGATTAATTGGGCCTATGCTCCATTTAAGGCCAATTTTCAAGGTTTCTCCGACTCCGGTTGTCATGTCGATGATCTGAGTAACAATTCCAAAGCTTGTGGTTCATCAATGTATTGGTGGAACACCATGAAGTATAATTGTCTTAGCATCTACGAGCAGAAAGTCTACAAGAATGTTAGAGAGAAATATATGAACTATGACTATTGTTCTGATCAAGCTAGATTTCCTATTTTTCCTAATGAATGTCGATATAATGAAATATAATAATAGTCTTTTATTACAAATATACCATGAAACATCAAATTCTTTTCGTTCATGGTAACTCTATATTGACAGTTTTTGAACAACCACAGAAGTCAATCAATTTAATAGAAACATACTTACTTACAGGTAAGAAGATTTTGGTATAACATATGAGAATAATAGCATATTGCCACAAGACTTTATTTGAAGTTTTGCCCCTAGTTCTACATAGTGACTTAAGTAATAATTTTTCAAATTGTAGTGTCTTGCATACTTCTAAATGCAAGAAATATAATCTTAGTATTTATAAGTTGATTCTTCCAAAAATACACGAGGTGTATTTGTTACTTGATTGGCATCACAAACACAAGTCGTGATCTACTTAGACTAATCCATATATCTAACTTACGATATGTGATGTGATCATGGATAGCTCGGACAATGGAGATATGGAGCTGCTTGAACCTGAGAAGCTTGGAGCTAGGAAGCAGCTTGTAGCTGAGGAAAATGGAGCTAAGGAGCAGCTTGTAGCTGAGGAAAATAACGCAAAAGAAGTTATCTTAACCTCGTTGGTTTTGATACATGATCAACAAATGGGCATGTGTCTCATTTGTACTCTTTTTCCCTTATCTTTGGTTTTATCCCAATGGGTTTTCCAAAGAAAGGTTTTTAATGAGGCAAATGATTCACATCCAAATCACCCATTTGATGATCAAGACCGGGCCAGAATATTCAGAAAATCTTCCAAGGTGTTAGCTATCAAGTCCAGCCCATTTTATTGCCATTACAAGCCCAAGAAGACTCCAAACCAAGTGCTTAATTTGCTGGCCAAGAGGAGTGACGAAAATAGGAGTTCAAGAGTCATCTTTGAAGCCAAAGGGTCTTTTCTATTCAAATTCTATCTTTAATATTTTGTTAAGTTTCTAGGCAGCCTTGGAGCTTGTTCCAAGACTTGTCTCTCTACATTCTCTTCTCTCCTTCTCCTCTATATATTCTCTATGTATTCTCTTATGAGAACTTATCAAACATTTTATCAAAAATCTCTCTTTTACTTGTTTGATCCGAGAAGTGCGTAATATCTTCTCAACTTGTTTCCTTCTTAGTGTGTAATATCTAAGTTGTATTCAAGCTCGTAGTCTAAGAGATTTCCACCTCTCTTGGAAGTACAAAACGTTCCACCTTCAATCCGCTGCAACAGTTCATCCGTTTGTCCGTTCATCTTCCACTTACGATCTCGCTCTTCTTCTATTCCGCTGCATCCTTCATGTTCAAAACCAACAAAGTGTGTTCTTGGGAATAGATCCTCATCTAGGAATCTATCAATATGTAACGTTAATTGGTGGTTGTGGATTTGATCCTTTCATTATACTGCGATTCTATAATCATGGACTTGCATATTGATATCTCTTCATTGTTGACCTCACAAACATTGTTAACTCTACAATAAAATAAAATAAAATTGTATGTGGATAGAATTATATTTCCATTTAAAATTTAGGATAATTTCAGTGAATTATATTGCTCATATGATCAAACAACCTTTTGTAAATTGCTATTACTTTTTATTACATCTGGTTTGGTTTTACTAAAATAGTTATTAAATTTAATACTAATAGTTTAGTATGTTGACCAAAATGAAAATTCATTGATATCTTATAAATTTTGACCAAATAGTTATTTTATAACCAATTTCTAAAAATAGTTTTTTTTTTCTTCGAAAACTCTGTCCATCATGACTTTTATTTTTACCAAATAATAATTTAGTTGTATGTTGACCAAAATAAAAATTCATTGATATATATGAGATAATGCTTGCTACTTTTTATTTTATTTTAAAGATGATGATATGTCATCATACGTAAGAATTCCCATTTTGGTTTTGTATAACCAAATAGTTAAAAGGAAACATTTCTATTAAAAATTTGTTGACCAAAATTTTGGTTCAAATGTAATTTAGTTGACGTAGAATTTGAGATAATTACTTCCATTTTGTAGAAAATACCCAAATAAACCTCTAATTAATCCACTAACACACACGAATATAAATAGGGGAGCTCTCTCTTTTCCCTGAGAATATACTCAAGCTGGCATTTAAAATGAATATGATAAAATATCTATTTGAATTTGTTTCAGTATTGTTCTTGATGTTTACGGCTAATACTAGAGCTCGTGGTCGTGGAGGTACTGATTTCGATGTGCACTATGTCGTTACATGGGGACAAGATCACATCTTGAAACTCAACCAAGGGAAAGAAGTTCAGCTCTCCATGGATCAGTCTTCAGGTTCATTTTTATTTTTATATATTTTACTTTCAAAATACGACGTCACGCGTTTAATTTTAAGGATTTATGAGTGTATTGATTTCAAAGTTAATCATCTATCCTTTACATTGTTTTTATGACTGTTTTTGTGTCAACACCTAAATTCAAACAAGCATAAGGCGTATTGTTAATAAAGAAATATACAACACAAATATGTATGATATAAATGTATACAAAAGATATCCAAATGAATAGTTTGACACAACCTACAATACCAACAGGTTCTGGCTTTGAGTCTAAAAGCCACTACGGATCAGGATTCTTCCAAATGAGAATCAAATTGCCTCCAAGAGATTCCGCGGGCGTTGTCACAGCTTTCTACGTACGTTCACATTTATCCTATTCAATGCAACATTTTTTTTCTAATTTTCATTTCATTACATTGATTTTGGAATTCCATCATTGAGAATTTGTTTCTTTATATATTTGGGTAATTACAGTTGACTTCGAAGGGAAACACCCACGATGAGGTTGACTTTGAGTTCTTGGGGAATAGACAAGGAAAACCAACAGCAATTCAAACAAATGTGTTTACCAATGGACAAGGAGGTAGAGAACAAAAGTTTGTTCTTTGGTTCGATCCCACTACAAGTTTCCACACTTATGGGATTCTTTGGAATCCATATCATATTGTGTAAGTTATTTTGTTCTTCTCCTTCATTTCTCTTCATGCATCAATCTTTTTTATATTTCAAGTCCCATGCACCTATTTAGGTCAAACTTATGGGGTGATTTGTTAACAGGTTTTACGTGGACAAAGTTCCAATAAGAGTATTCAAGAATAACAAAAGAAGTGGCGTGAACTATCCATCAAAGCCCATGCAACTTGAGACTAGTTTGTGGAACGGTGAGGCGTGGGCAACAAACGGTGGTAAGGACAAGATTAATTGGGCCTATGCTCCTTTTAAGGCCCAATTCCAAGGCTTCTCCGACCATGGTTGTCACGTAAATGGTCAGAGCAATATTGCGAACGTTTGTGGTTCGACAAAGTACTGGTGGAACACAAGGACGTATAGTAGGTTAAGTGCAAATGAACAGAAGGCAATGGAGAATGTGAGAGCAAAGTACATGAACTATGATTATTGTTCTGATCGGCCTAGATATCCTGTTCCTCCTAGTGAATGTCGATGGAATATATAGATGATGAATAGTAAAACATACTTTTATAAAAGGGAAATAATACACACATATTTGATATCTTATATAAATATTTCAAAGTTCTCTTAATCTATAGCAAACGATATAATCGATTAATAATGTACTTTATAATAATGATAAAGACTTTAGAAAATATTCATAGAAGAAAGTTCAAGAAAAAGAGAAGGAAAAAACGGTGCCGATTCTGTTTGATTAGGAGGAGATGAGTTGATCCTATAATTTTCCTACGTACTAGATTATGACCCGTGCTATACAGCACGGGGTTTTATTATTATTTTTTAAAATATATTGTTCATTTAATTTGAAATATGTAAAAATAACATAGTGTAATAGTTTAGTATAAAAGGGAATTAATCATATAGTTTTATGTTTATTACTATTTGGACATTATATTGTGTAGTAGTTATTTGACGATAATTTGTATATTTTGATTGTAGAAGTAAATAATACTATAAAATTTATTTTAGATATATTTTCCTTATAATAGTTGGTTACTTTAATTTATATTGTTTAACACTACATGAATTTTAATTTGGTTGAAGACATGAATTGCTAATAAAATGATGTAGTATATATTATCTTAGAATTGAATATATTTAGTTGCATTAGATTTGTATTTTGTTTTATAAGATTAACAATTTATTTAGTTTAAGTAGTAATTGATAATTAGATATAAAAAAGAAATTGTTGTATTGGTCTGAGTTGTTTAGTGGGCTATTTTGGGTTTATTTGGCCCAGTTTGTTTGTTTAAAAAAAAAAAAAAAAAACAACAAAAAAAAAAAACAGATCGGCAAACGGGAAATTTCCGACAGTTAATCCCAGAAAACTAATGTCGAATTCTACCCAAATTTTTTTCAAATTCGACCTCAAAGACAACATAGATTGAATTTCTTGCCCAATCCGTTCATATATTTCGAGTAATTGAAGCACGTCGGAGTGGTGATCAAAGGTAAAATTCAAACCGAACGATTTTGTTTATAAGTTACAGAAATCGATTAATTAAGTTCATGAGCTGATTGATGATTATATCGATTTAAGAGACAATGAATTATGTAATATCTGATTGCAGAACTGAATGAAATTCTCCAAAATGAAGTTGTCGATGAAAATGAGTTGTGAAGAAGAAGATCAGCGAAAAATCTAAACAGGGTTGATCTACTTTCAGCAAGCAACTCAGGAACAGCTGATTGCAACATTAGACCAACACAGAAATGTCCAGGTAATTGATCATGACCAATTTTGTTTATTAGTTAGACAAATTTATCAAGTATGTTCTTGAACTGATTGATGATTAGATCGTAAAAAATTTGGTAACAAATGAAACATTTGATTTTGAAACATGTAGATTAGAACATTGAATTCATAATAGAAATGTAGAATCGATATACTGAGTTAAACAAAGTGATGGCATCTATTTGTTTAGAAGAAGAAAAATGTCTATAAACTAAAATTCGAGTGTGATAAATAAATGAAAGAAAAACCAAAAAATGTAAAACTTGAAATCTAATGTTGTTTCTTCTTCAAGTGCAGATGAATGATTT